TATATGTATACACACATATACATACACACGTATACATATGCACGCATGCTTGCGTGCACGTGTTTGTATGTATGTCTGTATGCGTTCATGTAGTTTGTGTATGCATATGTCCGTTCTTTTGAATGTCGGTCGAAGTTATCCCGCCCCGAGGGGTTCGATAGTGCGCCTCCGAATCATGGTCCCCATGTGCCTACACGCTGTACTACTACTTGCCAAATTCCCATTCTACCCATTTAGTGTCTACACCCTCGGCTTCGGGTTCCAGCCCTGAGTCTGTTATGCTGAACCCTTGCAGTTCCCAAAAGCCTAACAGCCTAAAGCCCCCCCCCCCCCCGCTCCTGGCAGACAGGTAGGGAGTCCGACTGGTGCCTCAGCCAGGCAGCGTTCCTGCTTGTTGGGGCCTTCTCTGATCTCTGATCCAAAGGCACCTAATCTGAAAACCTCGAAAACCAAAGAAGCCCCAAAGGACCTACCTACATTGGTGGAAGTCCCGAGAGATGTTCTGAATTGCAGGCTCCCTCCAATCATTGCTCTCGTAGTCATCTACGGTTCTTACGATTCGTTTTATTGATATTCACATCCTACGGTTCCTATTATTGATATTCATATCCTACGGTTCTTACTATTGATCTTCATCTCTTACGGTTGTTAGTATTGATATTCATATCTTACGGTTCTTAGTATTGATATTCATATCCTACGATTCAAAGTATTGATATTCATGTCTTACGATTCTTGTTACTGCTGTTCATATCTTTCGATTCATGAGACTGATATTCATAGCATGACACAGGTTTGTCTTTACGGTTTCCTGTTAAAGGCAGATTCGAAGCCCTCGATTCGGCCCCTCTCTGTACATGATTTTCCGAATCAGAAGGGAGAAACGTGTGAGCTGAGGAGAACAAGGAACTCTGAATGCTAGCAACTGCCTCCTTAACATCATGACCGTACGTAGAGGTAGTCCTCATGTCAAGACACCCCCTTTTCAACCCAAGCCGAATGAAGCTCTGTGTCTGGGAACCCTCGGGTGAGATCTGAGCTGGCTGCGTCGCCGCAGGTCCTGCGCACTCCATAATAGATTGAGGTTCGCAGAATTTTCTTCAGGTGTTTTGGCTTGGTTCGGAGATTCGGACATAAGGTATCTTTCAACCCTGCGTGCAGGGTTTAAGGTTTAGGGAACCGGATTAGGGCATGCTATTTGGGTAGATCTCTGAATTAGGGTCCC